ACAGAGCCCCCCACCCAGGCCTCCCTCCAAGCAGGCGCCCAGCCCGTAACGGGGAAACTGGGCTGCCCTCCCCCGCCCAGCCCCTCCAGGTGGCAGTACCCCCAGTCACCCCTACAGGGCAGAGCCCCAGCCCCAGATGCCACATGGCGTCAGGGCTGGCCTGGGGGATGGTCCCTGGTGTCCACAGAGGCTCAGGCAGAGTCTGTTGGGAGTGTGTCCCCAGAAAGGCACCTCGAAGGTCTCTGAGCTGCACCTGGACAAGCTAAGGGCATGTGTGTTTTCTTTGGGCAGGAGTATTGGTTGGGGGGGGGGCGGCTCAAGGAGGCCCTCAGAAAGTTCCCTGTGTAGCTTTTGTGCTCCTCCCTAAAAGTGCTGTCTGTGAGGATACCCTTGTCTCCAGGCCTGCCCCACCACCCCTCCTCTCTGGTCTTGGGTTTCTCCTTGAACCCCTTGGCAAGGGCCACTGGCTCAAGCTCTGCACACTTTTGGGCTCCCAGCTCCCCGACCCTCAGTCTCCACCCGCTGCCAGTGCTGAGCCCCTCCTGGGAAGCAGAGCGGCCCAGGTCTCATGGGCCGCTCTTGGGGCACCCTGATGGCTTTACCCTGGACTCCCGATTATTCTGTGCAAGCCCTGTCTGTGTCCTGGAGATGTGCCCCCCTTCCAGTGGACTGTGTGTGGGGGAGTCTAAATCCCATATCCACCTTGAAGCATAAGCTTCTGCGGGATGCGGGCCAAGCTGCCCCTGGACTGCAGGGAGGCCAAGGGCAGTGCTGACTCTGGGCGGCCCCCTCCCCACCTCAGACCGGGGTGCCTCTAGCAAGGCTGGGTCCATTTTAGGGGCTTTTATTCCAAGTGTGCGCATCTGATGCAGCGACAAACTGCCCAAGTTAGGAGGCCTGCTCTGACGTGGCCCCGTGGGGAGAGGAGCTGGAGGGTCAGGAGCTGAGGCGCTGGTCCTCTCCACGGAGGCCTCTCCTTCCTGGGCCTCTGTCTGGGAGCCTCAGTGACTCCGGCTCTGTAGGCCACAGCTCAGCCTGGGGTGGGTTCCACCCCCTCTGGTGCCACCCAGTCCCCGCCTGACAGTCCCCTGCGGCTGGGGGCCTGTTCCAACTCCAGGCCCCAGCCGTCCACCCAGACAGAGCCAGGCCCGGCCCCCAGCCCCGGCCCACACAGAGACCACATGGAAAGGGTGCAACAGGCATGGCTCTGGTGAGACACGTGAGACAGGTGTCTGCGTGGTGGGGCTGGCGGCCAGACAGACGGGCGGATGGGACATCACAGCCACCCCTCCATGGATGTCGCAAGGGGTGGGAAAGAGGGCAGTGGGCCGCTCTGGGAGAGGCTGGAGAAACGGACGTAACAGAGAGGTGGTGTGGCCTCCTGACAGTGAGGAGTCCGGGACAGATTGGCGCCGGGCTCCCGGGGCCCTGGGCGCAGCCCCGAGTCGGTGAGGCTGACCAACAACATGACACAGCTTCAAGATGGCGCATGGCGTCATGGCATGGGGGGCAGACCAACGCAGAGACACATGGGGAAAGAGGGCCCAGTGAGGGCCAGTGGGAGAAAGGACCAAGAAAGGTCTAGAGAGTCAGAGAGTGAAGACCTCGTGTGCTGGGCAAATAGAGATGAGGGCAGAAGGGCCACAGCGGTCAGAGGTGGGGTGGATGGGATGGTGAGGGAGAGGGCACGCCTGATGCACGGGACACAGACACGGGGGCGGGGCGAGATAAGAGTCGGAGACGTGGGACTGGGCGTTCTTCCCCTTACCGTGTCTTTGGAGGACCTACGTCTCTTGAAGCTGGAAGCCAGGGTGGAGGTGATAGCCCTAAATGTGGCTTTCTTTTTAGGGTCGGGCTCTGCTCTACCACTCTTTCTATCCTAAAATGAATATGTATAAGTGATTAGACGGCTAAGGGTGGCGGCCACACCTGCCCTCGCCTGCTTCTCGGGGGCTGCTGCCCAGCCTGGCCGCCGCTCAGGCCCTCGCTCCTGCCTGCCTCCCTGTGCTGGACAGACGCACCAACAGCCGAACGTGTGCAGGCGGCCTCTGCTCCTGCCCGGTCTTGGGCCTGACCTTGCTCGTGCTGGGGCTGGACTTGGGAGGGGGTGGGGGTGGGGGTCCCGTCTGGCTCTCTTCCTGGGACGTCTGCCTGGCTCCCTGGCTCCTGGGTGGCCCTGGATTACAGGTGTCCCGAGGAGAAGGGTCCCCCAAGCACCGGAGGAGTCGCCCCTCGGGCCCTGCCAGCGATTCTGTCCCCTGAGGGGGCACGCCAAGATTCGGGAAGGGGCCGAGGGGCCGAAGGCAGGTGGCGAGATGAACCGGAGAGATAGATAGATGGAGGTGGCTTCCAGACCCTGGCCTGGGGTCTGATGGCCAGGATGGCCCTGTGCCAGCTAGTGAGAGCAGTGACCAGGTCCCAAGAGCAAGAGTGGGCAGATGAGAGGTGTGGGGGCTCCAGCAACCCATCCTCCCGCTCCCCCGCCCCGGACCTGGCCCTCCCTCTCTGAACATCAAATTCATCCCAGGACACAGGCTCTGGGGAATCACCCAGAGAAAGAGAAGAGAAGAAGCAAGCCAGAAAGGACCCTGGGGCGTGAGCCCTCAGGCCTGCGCAGGCCCCACTGCCTGCCCTATTCCAGGTGGGCCGTGGCTGCCCCGTGTGCAGCCTGTTTCCAGCCGGCAGCAAGTTCCCACAGACACGGCCTGGAGTGCCAGGCAGGGCCAGCTCGCCCGATTCAGGCTGGAGTTATGGAGCACAGGACACAGCAGGGCAGCAGGGAAGGGGGTCCCTGGAGGGTGCCGAGGGGAGGCGTGGGGCGGCGAGGGCAGAATGTCTTGGACTCACGTGCTATACCCAGGTGGGTCCCTGTCTTACCCTGCCTCAGTTTGCCTTCCTATGGAATGGGCGCCGGTGGGCGACTCTGGAGACAGAGGGGCCAGGCGGAGGCTTGGAGCCGGGCTTTGCAGGGGGCAGCCACCCGCAGGTGGCCCCCGGCAGCGCTGCCCCTGGCTGTGGCTCCTAGCTCCGGTCCTGCCCACATGGGCTCCCGGGGGGCCAGAGCCAGTGCTTCGGCCTGCGGGAATGGAGGAGGGCCGGGGCCAGGCCGGGCCGTGGGCACCAGGCCTCGGAGAGTGCCTGTCCTACCTGCAAGTTCTTTCTCCACACGTTCACCGCGGCAAAGGCTAGCTGCATCTGCTTCCGGCGAGCGTCCTTGTGTCGCTTGTAGGCGATCTCAATGAAGATCAGGAAGATGCCGGCCACAATGCCCCCAGCCACCAGCATGAAGACCCCTGTGGGCCAGGACCCAGGGCCTTAGCTGTTGGCTGCCGGCCTGCAGGCCCCTTGGAGAACCCCGCCAGTGTCCGCAGGGGGACGGAGGGCGATGGGGACACCCACCTGCCATATTCTCGAAGGTGAGGGTAGCAGGGGCGTTGCTGCGCGAGTCACACTCCTGGTACCGCACCCACGTCTTGTCCAGGTCTTCCATGAAGCCGTTCTCGTGGGACCTGGGGGGGAGGGCGCGGCCCGGAGTGGGCGGGGCCCGGAGCGGGCGGGGCCTGGCCCGCGGTGGGCGGTGTCTGTGTGCCGCGGCGGCGGGCGGCGGGGTCGGGCTCTGGGGAGGGGTCCGCCTCCGGTGGGAGGCTCTCGGAGGAAG